AGTGCCTTGGGCTGTTGTGGGAAGACCTGTGTGGTTTCAGCCGGGGCAGGTACACGTGCAGCTTTCTGGGATCTTTTATCTAGCATCTGGCCAGATGTCCGGCTCTCATGATGCATGCAGGGTTGTAAGTGGCTGCGTGCTGAAGCCGGTCCTGCTCTGGCCCGTGCTCTGGAGAATTGGAGACAAAGTGGCATCGCTGTTACTGTGTAGTACTTGGAGTTTTGTAGGCCTGGGATTATTGCTAATGGAAAAGCAAATGGGCTAAGAATCAAGAAAGAAGCATTTAAATAGCTGGGACCTCTTAGGAAAGCCAAGAGGCTGTTAGGCCACTTAATGTGGAGAAGGCTCGTGGGTTGCAGAAAGGTTTGTAAAGTAAAATCTCCGCAGACTATAGAAGCAGTGTCCTCCACCAGGCCTGCCAGCACAGCTAAAGTGGCTGACCTAGACAGAAATCTCACCCGTAGCACCCATTGTTGTCTAAGCCAAGGCATGCTCTCTGGACAAAAAAGCTGCTCTCATGTTTGCCATCATCCTCGCTCGGATGTCCAATGCCCAGGGATGCTCTCTGCACCCAGAACTCTCATGTGTGCTTCCTGCTCAGCCTGGCCTAGCCTGCCTGCCCACCAGAGCCCAGACAACAGGCGGTGACAGGCCTGCATGCCAGGGCTGCTGTTCTGAGTGAGCAGCCCAGAAGGCTGGCTCTCGACTCAAGGAGAGAAGTGGCTGCCCAGAATGGCACTTCCCAGGGTTTCCTGACCCTTGAGCAGGGGCTAATTTCGCCCTTTCTCCTCGGTGGGGCATATCTGCTGCTGTCATGCATTTACATGAGAGGCCTGTCCTCCCCAGAGCACAACATCCCCTTCACAGCAGCTAAAAGGCCGCTTAATATGCAGAAGCTCCACTAGAACCTCAGTAGGTTATGACATGAGGAAGTGGGAAAAAAAATCTGAAGCCCCAACACTGCCCTTCAGTTGTCCTCCTGAGAGAGCTGTTGTAGCCAAGGACAGAGCGGGCAGTGCCGTGGCTCCTGGGCTCTGCTACCGGGAGGAAAGTGGACACAGCTCTAAGAGTTTGCAAAAACACCAGGCTAACTTGCATGCCTTTTCATGGTCCAGCTGAGCTGTGCTCCCATTCTCTTTCAGGTGCTGAGGAGTTTCCAGAAACCCTCTCTCAGAGGTGGGGCTGGGAGAACAGGGGAGGGGCCGAGTCTCTGTAAGTGAGCCCCTTAGGAAGGCACCTCCCTGTTCTCATCAGACTGCCTAACTTAGTCATTAAATGTCACTCAGAGGAGCTGCATCTAGCAGGGGGAAAAAAAGGGGGGGTGGTGGAGTTGGGAAGGCGAGAGGGATGCAGTGAAAGAAGTTGTGAAGTGACATTTTTTTTTCCAGCAGGTTTGTCCTATCTCCTGCATGGATGAAAATTGCTTTCTGTAAATTCTGGTCCCACGAAACTCGCCGCCTATTTCTTTCCAGTTGGGGTGACAGCCGTTGTCGTCAGCATAATGAAGGGATTGTAGGCTGTGACTTTTACAAAGTCTGAGGGAAAGCAATCTGCAATCTTGACAGATAGGATCTTTCCGGGACGCGGAGTTCTACGGCAGTGGCGAGAGACCTCAATTAATTTATGAGCGAGGACAGCAGGATGTGACCCCTTGCACACAGTCTAGGTGGAGCTGTCCCCTGCCAGAATTTATGTTCTGGTAATTTAAAAAGATTTATATTAAGCTTTTCTTTCATTTTGAGAGTAGATTAAAATTCTAATGGAAACCATTTGTATGCATTTGTTGAATTGAATAGTATTTATGGCTGGGTAGGAAAAAAATGCTGCAAAATTCTGCCGATAATAAAGTCAGTGAAGCAAGAATAAGTGTAAAAACAGGAAGGAAACACTCAACAGAAACCATACTGTATTATACAAGTATAATGAGCGAGGGAAGCCGAGCAGAACCGGGCGGGGATTAGGCCCCCAGATGGGATAGTTTTCCTTATTTAGTGCAAGGTTTTTATGGCCGCTTTATGACTTTGAAACCAAATGTAAATTTTGCAAGGAGGCTTGCAGGCCCTGTGGCAACATTGTCCCTTTCCATCATGCCCGCCCACCTATCGGTATCCAGGACAAAGGAGAGGGAAAGAAAATTCCAGCTGCATCTCAGAAGACATGCTGAAGGGAGGAGGCTGAAGGTTAGGGGACAGAGGACAGCATCCTGTAGGTGCAGAGGAGGCAGCAGGAATCAGGGTACCACAGTGCCATTAGTCCCCACACTCACTGCCACGGACACTGCCAGACAGGGCCTGCATGACTGCTGCTCCTGTCACCTCCATGGCTGAGGGCAAGGTGCCTAGGCCACAGCCAGCCCCATCCAATGGCCTTTTGCTGGGCTGGGGTTAGAAGTGACCACTGCGGGAAGATTGACAAACCGGAGCATTGGGAATGACGACATCCAAGCCGCACAATCGAGCAGGCTCCTCCCTGTGCCCCGCCCCCAGTGTAGTCAGAGTAGGAGAGTAGGTGTGGTTGAGTGAGACTCGCTGCTGTTTTCCCCTCCTTCACTGTGCTGAGTGTCCCTGGACTAGCCACTACTCGCAGTGACTGGTAAAGAGCAGCCACTGGCACCCAGGACACCCCGAATGTGCAGGGTCAGGAGCTCTGAGAACACAGAAATGTGTGTGAGCCAGCAGCGGTGTTGCTGGTCCCGCTTATAGGTGTGGGGTTTAGCCACTGCTGGGGCGGAGCCTGGCTCCAGCATGCATCATAAGTGCAAAGTACTGCTGCTCTCCATGGAAGCCTGCATGCTGTGGAAAGAACGGCTTCGGAAAGAGCTGCCCTCTATCAAAATGGCATAGAACCCTGAGACGTGGTTCTGGCCTGGGCCCTTTCTGAGGCCAATAACATCCCCATGCTGCCTGAAGGGTGGTCCTTCCTAAACACTGACACCCTGAGTGTGGTCACCTGTGCTCCCTTCAGATGCCATGTCTGCAAAAGCATGGAATGGATTCGTCTGGCATTTAGCTCAGTTCCTAGCATTCAGTAGGCACTCAGTGTTCAGTTGAGCTAATCAGTACCTTCTAGGGCCCACAGAGGGCATACTGAAAGGAAAAGCCCTTGTGGACCAGTGGCTGAGGGGCCAGGGCAGTGGACGCTCATGGGGTCATGGGCAGTGCCACCATCCAGCAAGCATGATGCTCAGCTTAGTTTTTCTTTTCTTTTCTTTTCTTTTTTTTTTTTTCTGTTTAAAGACTTATTTATTTTCATTGCAAAGTCAGATATTCAGAGAGGAGAAGAGACAGAGGGGAGGATCTTCTATCTGATGATTCGTTCCCCAAGTGACCGCAATGGCCGGAGTTGTGCTGATCTGAAGCCAGAAGCCAGGAACTCTTCCAGGTCTCCTATGCTTGTGCAAGGTCCCAAGGCTTTGAGCTGTCCTCTGCTTTCCCAGGCCAAAAGCAGGAAGCTGGATGGGAAGTGGGGCTGTTGGGATTAGAACCGATGCTCATATGAGAACCTGGTGCATTCAAGGCGAGGACTTTAGCCGCTAGGTCACTGCGCTGGGCCCTTTATCAATCATTAGTGTTTTGTTTTTTTTGAAGATTTATGTATGTATTTTTGAAAGGCAGAGTTACACACACACACACACACACCCATTCTAAGCACTGGTATACTTACCAAAGAGCCACAATAGCCAAAGATGAGCTGATCCAAAGCCACGAGCAAGGAGCTTCTTCCAGGTATCCCAGGCGGGTGCAGGAGCCCAAGGCCTTGGGCCATTCTCCAATGTTTCCTAGGCCATAGCAGGGAGCTGGATCAGAGATGGAGCAGCCTGGACTCAAATCCTCTGTTGGATTCTGGTGCTGTAGGCAGAGGCTTGATGTGCTATGCCATGATACCAGCCTCCTTAACTACTAATTTCTAAGGACAATTTTAAAAATTGCTCTTGATGATCACCCCCCATACTACAATGCAACTCTGTGTAATATAACAAAATTTCTAGTATAAGTTAAACATTCATTGAAGGATTTATCTAGTTTTTTTTAAATCCTTATTGAAAGATCCTCGAGTTAATCTTAGAACGCAAGCGATGTTACTAGTTCCATTTCATTCACAGATGAAAAAACAGCCAGAGAGATTTAATCAATGGCTTCGTGTTGCTAAGCGGGAGAAATAGCCTTTGAATTACTTTTTGATCCTGAGTTCAGTTCTTAGTCTTACACTCATGTGCTTAGCAGCTGTTCAGCACACCTCTGCTCAGCCGTGCCCTGTGCAGGGACAGGTGGAGGGCACTGCATGCTGTCTATCCTTAAAAAAACAAACTGATTCCTAGGAAATACCCACACAAAAACGGAAGGCTACCGCCCAGGCGGCCAAGGGAGAACCTATCCCGGAAATGTCCCACAGATGCGTATTCACCGCACAGAGACCAATAGTGGTGGCCCTGAGAGATGAGCTGCCGATCACAGGCCAGGGGCAGGACTGGAAGGTCTAAGGGCAGGTGGATGCAGCTGCTCGGCGAGCTGGAGTGGCGGAGCTCTCGTGCTGTCAGGGAGTTGATGCCGCAGTCTTCCACACCTTATCCGCCAGTGAGGAAGAACTGGTTTGTGTGGTGGCATACAGGTTCAGTCCTGTTGGCTGAGTGCTTTTAAAGCATTTTTTAAAAAGATTTATTTATTTTTATTGGAAAGGCAGACCTGCAGAGAGAAGGAGAAACAGAGATCTTCCATCCACTGGCTCACTCCGCAAGCAGCTGCAATGGCCGGAGCTGAGCCGATCTCCCACGTGAGTGAAGGGTCTCAAGGCTTTGAACCATCCACTATCACCTTCCCATGCCACAAGCAGGAGCTGGATAGGAAGTAGTGCAGCCAGGACACAAACCAACGCCTACATGGGATTCCAGAGCATGCAAGGCAAGGACTTCAGCCATTAGGCTATTGTACCAGGCCTTTTAAAAAAAAATAATTTTCCCTGTTCGTTATTAAAACTTAGCAGTAGAGGAGCTGGTCTTGTACAGTAAGCTAAGCCACTACTTGCAAACTGGGCATCTCCTTGCACAAGGGGCCGTGCTAATCTTCTCTGTATCGTTCCAATTTTAGTATATGTGCTGCCAAAGCGAGCCCAACTTGGCATCTCATACCTGTATCCCTGCTGCTTGAGCTCCTGGGCAGCCACCTGCTAATGTACTTGGGAAGGCAACAGAGGGTGGCTAAAGGCTTGAACCTGTGCCAGTGATTTGGGGCTCCAGTGCTGCACAAGGCTTCTGGCTTTGGCCAGGACTTCAGCCATGATGGCCGTGTGGGGAGTGAGCCAATGAATAAAAGAAATCTGTCACTCTCCCCTTCCAATCTTTTCTAAAAGCTAGCAATATATAGAAAAACAGGCAAAAAAAAAATTAAAAAGTCACTCAATCTCATTCCCTAGGTTTAGCCACTGTTGATATGTGGTGTCAATTATACTTCATATGAATTGTTTTTGCTCCCTAATATGAATTTCCCCACCATCATTAAATATTCTCCAAGAAACATGGTATTGAATGTTGACACAGTGGTCTGTCACAGAGCCATCACTGTTTTTTAAACCAATTTTCTCTAATTGGATAGTTCTTTCATTCCATCAGTGTTGTATTATTATAAGTAATAATGATTCAGTATTTGTTGAGTGAGTGAATGACTATTTCAGAGGACTTGGTCACTCATAAATCTTTATATGTGTGTCTAATTGTTTCCTGATTGGGGGGAAAAAAAAGCTTTGCAAGTGAAACTGTTGAGCCAAAGGTTGTGTGTTTGAAATGCTTTTTCATCCGCATGACCGAATTGCCTTTCAAAAAGTAGTGAAAATTATAACCCCACCAGCAAAGTATGAGGGCATAATTTCACTGCACCGTTGGTGGTAATGTAACTTTGAAGATCTGTATTTGCATCTTAGAGAAGATTCCATGGGCACAGAGAGGCTGCAGCCCAGGGATCTAGTGAAGTTCAGAGTGGACGATGATAACATCCTGAACTCCAACAGCCGTGGAGGTAGTGCAGAGAGCTGACCGACCCGAGAGTGGGGCAGGATGCAGAATTGCAGGTCAAGAGAGTGGTTGGAGGGAGCCTGCGGTGTCTGCCCCAGGTGTGGCACTAATTAGGATTCTTGGTTGTAGGTGACAAGGAAGCTGTCATGATGCAGTTAAGCGAGCCTCCCTGTAAAGATCTGCAGCCACTCCCGGAGTTCAAGCAAAAGCACCTGGTGCCAGAATCCCCATTTGGGAATCCAACAGGCAGACAGGAATGGACACTGTCTCCTCTGGATCCTACTCTCCAAGTGTGTGTTTTTGTGTCAAGATTCCCACCCTTGGGAAGGGTCAGTCTAGTCCACTTTGGGTCAAATGTCCCTCTGGTGACTGTTAGGATCTATTAGGCCACTGAGGCCTCAGCCCCATGCCCAGGTGAGCCACCTGCAGCCAGGTGGACTATTCCCTGCTGCATATCCCCTCCCCACACCTCCCCAGGGCCCATGGGACATGCCACACCTCCCCAAACAAGCCCCATTGAGAAGAGGCTGTTAGCATGAGCAGTGCAGCGTGAATAGGATTGGAGAGGGGTGGCTTGCAACTGAGAAAATGAGACAGACACAGGATAAGGACTGTGAAAGCAGGCAGTCACCGGGAAGCCCCCTCCTCTGAGGAAGCAGGTTGAGCTAGCAGGCTTGCAGCCTCAATCTCCTGTGGAATTGCTGGGGGAGTCAAATGACAGGAGTTGATGTGGCACAGATGTTGATGGCTACATCCCCTATTGGTGCTAACCAGCCAGTGTTTGATGATCAGAGAGCACCAGTGTGGCCCAGGTAGAAAAGTCGTACGTGACTGTCTCAAGGATATCTTCAAGCACACAGTCCTGTGGCCTTGGACCATTGCCCAGCTGCGGACCCTCGCCCATAGGCCATGACCTTGGTCTTGGACTTTTGCCTGCTCACTGACTGTTGCCTGCAGTTTGACTTCAGTCTCCCACACCAGCAATCTGTGAGCACAACATTCCAGACACAGTCTGCTCTGCTATTCCTTAGTAAGTAGCACTGTTATTTTTCACAAACAGCTTATAGCAACCCTGCCTGCCCTACAGGGAAATGAGGTCTGGCTTCAAACCCCCTGCACTTTGTCTAGGCAGGCTGAACTCCAACTCTCTTCAGCCCCTGTTCTCTCCCACCTAGGAAAAATAAAACCCCTTTCTTCTACTTTAACTGAACACCTCCTCACCATCTTAAGATTGATTTATCTTTATTTGAAAGCAAGATTTAGAGAGAGAAGACACAGAGCTTCCATCTGCTGGTTCACTTCCCAAATGACTGCAATAGCCAGAGATGGGCCCATCAAAGCCAGGAGCTTCTTTCAGGTCTTCCACATGGGCACAGGGGCCCAAGGACTTAGACTGGCTCCTGATGCTTTCATGGGCATATGAGCAAGGAGCTGGATCTGAAATGGAGAATCTTAGACTCAAACTGGCAGCCATGTGGGATACTGGCACTGCAGGCTTAACCTACTACTCTATGGCACCAATCCTCTCAGAATCCTAAAACCTACTAGTGACCATTGGTAGGGAATGCAGTGATTGGCAATCCTACCAGAAAGAGAGGATTCTATTCTGTTTCTAGCAGGAGACCACAAAAACAAATGTGAGACAACCAAAACACTATGGTTGACCTTGGCAAAGCTGGCGTGCTCACAGCCTCAGGGAGTACAAAGGTGGAATACTTGGACCAGTACCCAGTAGGGTGACCCCAAGCTCATGTGTGAACAGTTCCTACTCACAGTTCAGTTTTTCATAGAACACAGGGTAACTCTAAGAAGAGGAGGAAATGAGGAGGAGAAGGGCAGAACCCCCTTCTTGACCCTGCTGGGATGTGTCAAATTCCTGTTAGCCCTAAGCCCTCTTGTGTCTCCCACCCAATGTTAACCAAACTCAGGGTGGTGCCCAGCCGATGGACCAGTAGTATGTTCAGCTTCCATTAAACTGCTCTTGAAAGCAACTGCCCACCCAGACAATGCTTCTTAGCCCCACTCATGCTGAGCTGAATGCTCACAGCTGATTCTCACCCAAGGAGAAGTTCCCCGGGCCACAGTGTCTTAGAAGCAGGTGTGCTGGGATGCCAAATTACCACAAGGGGAAGGCTGTATGCCAACCAGGAACCCCCACATTGAACTGATATATGAGAAATAAACTTGGAATATTACACCATTGAAATGCTAGGGCTCATTTGTCACTACAGCTAATGAATAACCTCCCACAACCCTCCAGGTCCTGGTTTAATAAACGTTCAAGAAGACTTAAGTGAGTAATGAATGAAGAAGACCCCATGGGGTTCCATAGTTACATGGTTCCAGAAATAATAGGAAATACTTCCGGAATTCCTTTTCTAAGTGTGTAAGGAAAATGAAAAGATTTTGCTGCAGATTAACTTACATGTGAATGCTTATGACAGCATTAGACACAGATGTCAAGTGAGTAACCAGATGTCCTTCAAATGGTGAATGGCTAAGTAAAATGTGGTATATCCATACAACATTATTTAGCAATAAAAAAGAAAAAATGGGGGCCTGGGGTGGTAGCCTAGCAGCTGAGGTTCTCACTTTGCACGTACCAGGATCCCATATTGGTGCCTGTTCTAATCCCAGCAGCCACACTTCCCATCCAGCTCCCTGCTTGTGACCTAGAAAAGCAGTCAAGGATGCCCAAAGCCTTGGGACCCTGCTCCTGCATGTGAGGCCCCCGGGGAGGCTCCTGGTTCCTGGCTTCAAATTGGCTTAGCTCCAGCTGTTGCGACCACTTGGGGAGTCAATCAGTAGACAGAAGATCTTTCTTGCTGTCTTTTCTCTCTGTACATCTGACTTTGCAATAAAAATAAATCTTCAAAAATTTTAAAAATCCACCATTTCGGGCCCGGCGCGGTGGCGCAGTGGTTAAGGTCCTCGCCTTGCACGCCCGGGATCCCATATGGGCACCGGTTCTATCCCCGGCAGCCCCGCTTCCCTTCCAGCTCCCTGCCTGTGGCCTGGGAAAGCAGTCGAGGACGGCCCAAAGCTTTGGGACCCTGCACCCATGTGGGAGACCCGGAAGAGTTTCCTGGCTTCGGATCGGCATAGTATCGGCCGTTGCGGCTCACTTGGGGAGTGAATCATCGGACGGAAGATCTTCCTCTCTGTCTCTCCTCTCTGTATATCTGCCTTTCCAATAAAAAAATAATAAAAATAAATCTTAAAAAAAATCCACCATTTCAATAAACATCTTTAAAAAAAGAACAAAGTGCTAATACATGGTATAATATAGACAAATATTGAAAATATGATGCCAAATAGAAGAACACAGTCACAAATACAACATTCTGTGTAAGTCGATTTATTTGAAATATCCAGAATAGGCAAATACTTAGAGACTGATTGGTAATTCTCTGAGGAGGAGGGGGATGGAGTGGAAGAAAATGGGGAGTGACTGCTAAGGAGTGTGGAGTTTGCTCTTAGGGTAACTAAAATGGTTTGCAATTCAGGGTGCTGAAGGTTGCACAATATTGGCTGTGTCTAACGGCACTAAACTGTACCCCTAAAATAGGCTAATTGTATGGTATGTTGACCCAGAGATGAAAGTATCGGGAAAAGGGTTGGGGCTGTGACATAATAAATTAATCCTCTGTGGTCACAGCATCCGATGTGAGTGCTGGTTCGTGGCCCAGCTTCTCTTTCTATTCAGCTCCCTGTTCATGTCCTTGGAAAACAGCAGAGGATGACCCAAGTCCTTGGGCTCCTGCATGCATGTCGCAGACCCGGAAGATGCTCCTGGCTTCAAATGGGCCGTTCTCAGGCTGTTTCGGCTGTTTGCAGAGTGAGCCAGAGGATGGAAGATCTCTGTGTCTCTCCTTTCTGTAACTCTACCTTTCAAGACACAATAGTCTAGTGACTAAATCCTCATCTTGCATCTGCTGGGATCCCCTGTGGCCACTGGTTTATATCTTGGGTGCACTACTTTTAATCTAGCACCCTGCTTGTGGCCTAGGAAAGCAGTCAAGGGGGCCCAAAGCTTTGGGACCCTGCACCCACGTGGGAGACCCAAAAGAGCTCCTGGCTTTGGATCAGCTCAGCTCTGGCCAA